TTTATTAATTTCTTTTATTTCATTAATAATAAACCATAAACAACACCAATAATTTTATTAATCTAATTTTAACCTATTAAATAGGTACATGTGCAATAACATCGATAATTACCAAGATCGATGTATTGAGTAGGATTAACATCGAACATCGATGTTGAGATATCGATACCAACATCGATGTTTCTGCAACGTGGAACACCCCTACTAACACCAACCATAGATAAATAATACCACACGGAGTATAGTTGTCGACACGAGTCGTGAGCATAGATAAACTGTGGTGGGAGCACAAACTAATAAGAGTACTAAGGTAGGAGCGTAGACAGAGAAACCTATAAGCCCTAAACCCTAAGACTAATGATCGGCGTGGCCTCAAATGAGAAAGGACGATAATGGACGATAACGAATTTTTAGGTTATACAATAATCTTTACGACTTTTAAACACATTTAGATAAAAATTTTAATTGTTCAAAGAACTGAACTGAACAAGATTCACCAATCTTAAGGTCAAAAAACACTTTTTTATCACTTAAACCAACTTCTAAACTCCTTAAATCGCTACGCTGTTAAAGTTGTTTAGCTCGGATTTTTTTGATAGCAAACTGTAGAGTTTGCTAAACAAAAAAACCGGCACGGAGAAAGGGACAAACAATCACACCGCTCTATCTCATTTCTATGCAAGACGTATGCATAAATCTATCTTTTTCGTGTGCGAATGCAAAAGGAGGCCTCAAATTGTCTATAGGTTTTTCTGTCTACGGATGAGAGGTTGGTACACTGTCGGGCGAAATTATTGGTTCCCTTTATTATTTAAATTCGTAATTGAATATTTTCACCGACTTTTATGAAAATGTTTACTTGAACACATCAACTTTTACTTTGATACAGTAATGTTGCAGATATTCGTGTGCGTTATTTTATTATCTACTATAAAGTATTTGATGTATACATGATGGCTAGAATTGAATATTTTATTAAGAAGAAGGAAGAGGTGATATGCTAGCTTGCTACATATTTATTTATCTATGTGATATGCCTTCCATAAAATCTGGTGTTGCCGTGCTAGTAGAGGCCCCTTCATCTGACAGTTCATTATCATCACTATCATCACCGTAATCTTCGTCGTCATGCTCATCCTCCAAACAAGACACAGAATCATCATTGCCCACTTGAATGATAAACACTTCCGTTATTTGAACAATGATGTAGTCGTTTTTCATGTACTCCTTCTCTATATCTTTCACTTTATCGCATAATTTTGCCCATTCACTAGCACCCATTAAATTAACTTTTTCCTTAATAAGGATTGTTATGCTGCTAACATTCCAGTTCACATTTTTTCTGCTAACATAACCTTTTATGGCAGCCCAAGCCATCTCAATTGGATTGAAATCTGGATTGTATGGAGATAATCTTAAGACCTCGTGACCGTGTTCAGCCATAATTTTGTCTATATTGAGCAGTCTGTTTATATACGTCTATGATGTTTTTCGCAGTACTTAATTTTTTCATGTAACTAAACACTGAATAGACCATTTGTCGGGATTGTCTATTTAACACGGAATTCTTCCTTCTCTGCATATTTAGACCAAAATCTGAATACTCAAATTATAACAACAAACATAATTAAAAAACAAAAACAATTAAAAACAAGAAATACACAAACAACAATTAACAACGACAAAAATAATTAACGAAAATATACTAATTAAAAAGTTATCACTAAAATTGCTCTCAAGTGTACGGAAGCCGAATAATACGTTCGAACTCAATAGACGACGAGAATCGATTGAGGAACCAATCACGTTGAGCGTCAGCGTGGTCAACGTCGTATCGACCAATCAAAAGTGTGCTCACGACTTATGCCGGCAGAATAATAGCATTAACTGTCTACGGTTTCTTTCACACCATTATGGAGTGTAGAGGTAAGAAGTACAGACTCTGTATAAAAAGTGTCCGTAGGAAAGCGCTAAGTAAGGGTGGCACCACTATAACTACAGTCTAAATTTTAAAGAACTTTTAATAATTTATTTATTGCACAGACTTTCACCATAATTCTTTTTCCAATAATAATTATTTTATTGCTTTCAAAATTTTTATTTTCAAAATACCTTCAACGTATTTTACGGCGATTTATCATACCCTGTAACTCATCATCATCATCATTACAGCCCTTCACAAGTCCACTGCTGAACATAGGCCTCCTCCAAGGTATGCCACAAAGCACGGTCCTGAGCCACCTGCATCCATCGACTTCTTGCATATCTTACAAGGTCGTCACTCCATCTAGTGAGAGGTCGTCCTATACTACGCCTACCGGTACGAGGCTGCCACTCGAGAACCTTTTTCCCCCATCGATTGTCGGTTCTTCGAGCTATATGGCTGGCCCATTAACACTTCAACTTACTAATCCGTTGGGCTACGTCTACTACTCTGGTTCTACTGCTGATATCCTCACTTCTAAGTTTATCACGCAGAAAACCCTCGAGCATAGCTCTTACGTCGTGGTAACCTTGAGCGTCCTCTACTGTTTCTGGCAACACGCATGTTTACTTAATTTAGTTTTCAGGTTTTGAAGTATACGTGATGAGAAGATATGCCGTAATTTCCCGAACGCTGCCCAGCCGAGTTGAATCCGTCGATTGACCTCTCGGTCGAAGTTGGACTTACCTAGTCGGACTATTTGTCCCAGGTAAACGTACTCGTCAACAACTTCGAGCATAGTGCTCCCAACAACTACCGGCGTAGCTGTGACCTGGACATTAAACATGATCTTTGTTTTGTCCATGTTCATCTTAAGACCTATCCGTTGGGAGGCACCATTGAGGTCATTGAGCATAGTGCTTAGGTCCTCTAGCGATTCTGCCATAAGGACTATATCGTCGGCAAATCGAAGGTGAGTGGTATACTCGCCATTGATGTTAATACCGTATCCTTACCAGTCCAGTAGTTTGAAAACGTCTTCCAACGCAGCGGTGAAGAGTTTCGGGGATATAACGTCACCCTGTCTTACACCTATCTGCAGTTGGATAGGTTTCGAACTCTGGTTCAGTACTTGGAAAGCCATCGTAGACCTACTGTACAAACACTTCAGCACTTCGATATACCGACAATCAACTTGGCACCGCTGAAGGGATCATAGCACCGCCCAAATTTCGACGGAATCAAAGGCTTTCTCATAGTCCACATACGCCAGGCAAAGTGGCAGATTGTACTCTTCGGTCTTCTGTACAATCTGCATGTATATATGTGGTCTATGGTACGGAAGCCTTTTCGGATATCGGCTTGTTCGGGAGACTGGAAACAACAAACTTTGCAAATCCAAGGATTTAAATCCAACTGAAACGAATTGCTATTCCATCCATGGATTTAAACGTTCCACAATTATGTCTGTTAATTAAATTTTCTCGACATGTAGTAAAAGTTATTATCCCTTTAAGTCACATTTTGGTAAGAATTCAATTATAAAACCAAACTCGAAGTTATTTGTAGTTATCTAATTATAAATGTTTACTGTTGTTTCATAGGTTCATATAAAACATTAGTTATAATGAGCACTAATTTTGAAAGAGACTATTAGTGAATGATATCTGCAAGTAGTATGTACTCTGCGAAGAAGCCTAGCGATTTTTACACTTTAATTGTTACAATTAAAAGGAAACTAATCCAATCAGAAAAAATATTTTTACCTTTTCACTTAAAAAAAAAACTTTAGCGTTAAAGAGAAAGAAACAAACGCATCTTACGCACATAAATTGTACAAGAAGAAGCATCCAGACGTAGACTAAAGAAACTGGAAATAGTCGGTTCAGTAGTGCCGCAGTCAAACCCTTAGCCACTGCGCTACGAAATCATGATATAATTGTGCATTATTTTTAATACATATTTTGTTACCTAATAATTGTAGATAATTAATAATAATAATGTCCTCCAGAATGAATTTCATTCAGGGTGGTTTGCCCCAATGGAGCCTAGCCATCGGCGCAGGACAGGATTATAGTGCCGAAATGTATGCGCAAGCACAGGTGCACTCTGTTCCCTCACTCTCATAATCTGATAGACGGTAAACTAACGACCGGAGAGATCAGGTGCAGGCGCATATATATAACCCATTATATATATTAATCGATTTTCTTTCGAGATTTTTAATCGAGCATTTTCAGTTGATCCCCACGTAATAAGTTTTATTTATTTCTTTTATTTCATTCTGTATGGAGATATAACTTTTATTATATAAAAATATTGACGATATCTATATTCACAGCACTATTAAAATGTGTCTATATTGTCGGGGCTGTTTGTCAAAAATTAAAACGTCATATCTTGATGTTGGTAGAGTAGCTTGGAGCCCGTAGACCATGAAGGTTAGAGAACAGGAGAACGATCGCCGTAGAAAATAGTGTCCCAGAAATATGGACACCATCAGTGAGGCGCTGCGATCACTAAGTGCAGTCAATAAAAGTAATTTTTAGTCTATTTTTCCGATCAGATGCTCAACCACTTGCACATCCACCGACAATAAAATATTTCTCCATTTTTTGAAGTTTTTTTTTGTCAAAAATTACAAAATTACGGAGCATGAAAATTTTCTACGAAAAAATGAAATGAAAATTTGTACAATATTCAACTAACTTCACCTACTTGTACTCGTAAACAGCTAACTTCGTAGTCACTACTCACCGACGTCAGCGCCGCTATGTTTTCTACAATTTTCAAGGACAGGCGGGCTATGCTTCAGTACGATCGTTTTCCTGTTCTCTTACCTTCATGGTCTACGTTTGATATCAACTTGTCTATGGTTGTTAGTATGATTCTGGTATGATTTTGATTTGACAGTTTACGTGGAAGTAGTAAGTGATCATCTGTGCGTTTGACATACATAAAATCGCAGAAATAAATAGCGAGTGTGAAACTTATAATTTTTGTTTTTAGTTTTCTAATAAACATTAAAACGGAATTTACGGTTTGCGATGTCCGAATATAATTTTGCAATAATAATATGTCGGATTGGTATTGGCGGGTGATAGCCTTAAAGGCTACCTTTGCGCTTACTTGTTTAGTTTCTTATCTTCGTGCCGATGTTACGATACAGAAGTTACCGTTTTGTAATCCTCACAACACAAACGATGCAACTAATGAGTGAGTTACTATTTCAATTGGCAAATAAAATATGTGTTTTTCATACATGACTTGAATATACACATAATATGACATTTTTTTGTTTTGTTTACATTCATTTCACTTTTAGATAGAGAATCCCAAAACAAACTATATTCTACAATAAGCATCAATGATTACACGTCAAGGTCAAGATTAATTGGATAACAATTGTTTTGACAAAGCTAACATAACTAAATGTTGTTTTATCTTGAATAAAAACTTGATAGAATAAACAGAAATCATTGAATATAACAGGCACAAGTCAAGTATATTTATTTAATAACATGATAATTTTGCCATCACTTCCATGATTGACAATATTGGCAGAATTCTTTATAGAGTAAGCAAAAAAAAATACATTTTAAACTTAATGCTACCAGCAAAATAAACCTAGTACTAAACTATCTAACTATAACTCATACAGTCGTGTGATATACTTTAATGAAATCACAATATTTAGTAGACAATTCAGTTCATTCACTAGAATTTTTTATTGTATATTGTCTTGAAAGCATTTATTATCAAGATAATTTGGAACATCAAATACAACCAACGATAAAGCATTAGTTATTTTTTTTTAAAGAACTAGTGACTAAAAAATGTTCAGTCCACCTGAAGGTCACTTACCTTCTGTTACTGTACTGTCCATGGACACCTGTAGCTAACTTCAAAGAAACTACAAATGTGTTGTCTTCTCTGAGGACTAAGAATGAATGCCTAACAGCCCGTAATTATACGGGTCTCTACACTGTTCAGACTAAAACAATGCACAGCTATTTGGCAGCATAAACAGATGAGAGAGTAAGTATTCACCTAGACCAACTCCTTGCCAGAAAGAAAAGGTAGGTGGTAGAGCCATGCTGCAGCTATATTATGGTTGTAGCATGAATGTGTCGGCTTGACGGGAAGGACCACAGTCTCGCTGAATATCACTGTAAGTACTGCTGTTTCATATGGTGAGTGTCAAAAACTGGAGACCCCTTTTTACCACTGGAAGCTAGGTATTCCATCTTAGTCCTCAGGGGTGACTACGTATCTGCATTTTAGTTCTTAATCGAGAGTAGATATAGATGTTTTTGGGCCACAACATCCACTTAACAACTAAAATCAGGTGGACCGTGCTTGTTTATCACACTTATTCTATAAAAAATAACTTCCACCTTATTAAACTCACAATACCTACTTCATTATACTGTATTAATGTAACGAATGTTTTATTCATAATTATAAATTTTTTTTCTATTAGCTTTTTAAAGACTAACAATATGCTATATGGTATCACAATAAATTGCCATTGCTACAAATTACTGAAATGAATTTGAGATCTGCGTGGAATGAGCTTTCCTACCCATTCCTCTGTGCAAGCTGCAGTTACCTCTATACAGACTCAATATGTGCTAATATCATCTGAGTCATGTCTCATTTTAATTTCTATGCCTTGTAAACATAATTACTTAAAATTTCAAAAGTAATGACACATAAGTAATATTTTATGGCTTTACTCATAAAAAATAACATCAATTTAAGAAATGATTAAAGTTGCTCCTTATTACATTAAATAAAAGTAGTAAGAGACAGGTTTAGAGATAATTGATATTTAACATGATAATTAACCATTATAGGTTCTGGAATTATAGTGTGATGTTTATTAAAAAAAAATATGTGTGGCACTCTGGGACTGCCGTGGTAAAGCAATTGCATAGCATTTTTATCAACTTATGCAATTATAATTATTTATTTATTTTATTTATGCAGTATTTTTTTCTTTGTTAGCAAAAATGTTTGCTCCATTCGGGAATCAAACCCATGATCCACGACGCTGCATTCGAGTGGTTCAGCCACTGCGCCAAACGTGCCATCGAAAATAATATATAAATTTAAAAAATATATTTAAGTATAAAGTCTGTGTTTATTAAACACTCTAAATTCACGAAAGTTGCTAACATGACGACGACTCATACAACAGACTCAATCACACCAAACAATATGCTTCTTGCAATGAACTATATTATTGTTTAAAATATTTTTATTATATTACAATACATGCAGCTAGTCTACACGCATATGTCTAATCGCATGCACACGAACAAGATAGGTAACTATTTTGAAATTTCATATGAAATGTTAATTTCAAAATTGTCAATGCACTTATTCAAAAATTTAAAAGAATTTATCTATTAATTTATAAATCATATTTTGTTATACATTTACAGTCTTGTGATAGTGAGCACTCTTGACGGAAAGCTGACTGCTTTCTCTACCCTAAATGGAATCAAAGCTTGGGATGTTGAGACTCAACCATTGCTATCATCTAATCTTCATCATGTTGAGGTATACTGAAGTGATCACTTTTCTTATTTATAGCATAGATTGATGTAAATTTCACAGTATGCAAGCAACTATGGTTCGGTCCCCATTAGCGGCAATGAAATTCTAATAGCAATTTTAAGTGCTAATTTACCACATGCTCAACGATGAAAACACTGAGGAAACCTGAATGTTTTAGGAATACAGGGAGAATATGTGCAGTCCGCCAACAGGCACTGAAGCAGCAGGGTAAACTAATTGCTAAATAAAACAGATTTTTTTAATTCAATATATATTATAAATAATGGTTATTGAAAGTCACTTTTGTTTAACATGTTGTATGTAAATATATATATATATATATATACATTCTATGAGGAAGAAAGGTTCTCGAGTGGCAACCTTGTACAGGTAAACGAAGTGTGGGGCAGCCCCCCACTAGATGGAATGACAACTTAGTGAGGCACACAGGAAGTCGATAGATGAAGGTGGCTCAGGACCGTGCTTTGTGGCATTCCTTGGGGGAGGCCTATGTGCAGCAGTGTACTTGTGAAGGGCTGTTATGATGATGATGTCAATCATATATATTATGCAATTAACAACACCAAACAAACTAGAAATAGCTTGACAGCGATCACATTATTCGCAGGGGCTATTATCATCTTAATATTGTATATATCCATTAACAACTCCTGAAAATAAACAAGATTGAATGAAAAAAGTTAAATTCGCTCTTCATCAGCAAAATTCAAATTAACATTAAGACCTGGAAGCAACAACAGGACAGAAGTGCGAAGAGGAGATATGCGTTAACAACCAATAGAAAGATGTAATGGTGACATAACATCTGCATTTTGTGACCCATCTCCTCATACACCGCTTAGCATATACAGCTTGGTTCTGCTCTAGGCTGTATTCATTCATTTATCACAGCCTATCGAAATTCTCCTGCTGATCATAGGCCTCTCCATAAATAGATAGTTGCCACACTTGGCAAGCGGCATGGCAGCTGCAGTTTTTTATCTTTTAGTTGTTAATAGAATGTGCTCTTACCTGTTTTTGCCGCCAAATTGCATTACATACACTTCTCTTTACCTAAATATAAATATTTTATTGGGTTTTTAATCAAGAAATTCACAGAAGCGGATTGTTGTTCCGTCGGACTACGAGAATAAAGTAATAGAGAGTGCACATTACATTTTTATCACAGACGGTTAGTCTCCCTTTAAACTAAGAACATTATTTTTATTTATTTTATAGTTGACAGCAGGAGGAAAATGGGTACGCTTGGTACCCTCTTTACGTGGCACCCTATACAGCCTCAGTGGGGACACCATCGAGCCTTTGCCATTTGACGCAGATCAATTGCTCTCATCATCCTTCAAATATTCAGATGATTTAGTAATAGCTGGTAAGTTTTGTGGTATATTATTTTTTCTGTTCTGTTGTTTAAAAAAAAAGTTTTAAAAAAAAAGTACGCATTAAATCACAATATTTCCTTTTGTAAATATATTCTTATGAGAAATCTTTATTTACATAATCATTATTATATAGATAACATTGCCAATTGTTTAGAAAATATTACACCCATATTAGGATTTTCTCATGTATAGTGAAGATGTTTTATAGACGAAACTATAATTCGAACCCGCGATCCATTACATTGGTTATGAAACCCATTACATCGTATAATAATCGCCACGAATCTTTGTGTCAGTAAATTAGTATATACTTAATGCCTTTTTTTAATTCCTAAAACGACATAAGACACTACTTAAGTTGCGGGTTGGCAAGTGCAATTGATTTACATCTCGCACTTTTAATGTTGCTGCCTGTGCCTGGCCGATCTAGTAAGAGAGTGAATATTTCTGATGTTCCATTAAGTCAACATGTATGACATCCACAGGACTATATAGGTGGATAAAATCACAGCCATGACCATCACAATCACTTTTGCTTCTGTGGCTGTTAAGACCATGAAAATGGACAAAAAATGCTGCAGTTATATTAGTAGTATAGTTGTAGCACAAATGGGTCGGCTCGATCGGGGAGGACTACTCTCTCACAGAATACCAACGTAAAATAGTAGGTTAATGCCGCTGTGTTTCGTATGGTGAGTGTAGAGAACCGGAGACCCTTTTTACTGGAAATAAGGCATTCCATCTTAGTCCTCACGGGTGACAACCCATCTGCATTTTGATTTGTAATCGGTAGATGTCTATGGGCCGCAGCAACCACTTACCATCCATCAGGTGGACTTTGTGCTCGTTTGTCACCCTATCCTAAAATACTTGCCGTGGCTGTTATCATCAACATCATAACCACGCTGCCTGATCTTCGCTAACTACACATATATATATTAAGTGTTGGGCCTTACAATTCTAAAGATGATGTAGCCTCTTAAAATATGTTGTAGCCTATAAACATATGTAGCCTCATTGTTTCAGGCGCCCGGGAGACATTATGGCTAGGTATAGATGCACATTCCGGCGCTGTTATATATGAATGCGGCTCTGTGGGCTGCAACAGCGAGGAACAAACCGCCGGCGCTGGTCGCGACGTGCTCGTGCTGCGCCGACACTCTAGCACTGTGCGTGCACTGGAACCCCGCTCCGGTAGCGAGAAGTAAGTTTTTTTTTATATATAATAAGGGTGACAAACGAGCGCACAGTCCACCTGATGGTAAGTGTCCTCGAACTAAATATAGCTGTAATGTGGCTCTAACACATATAAACCCACAAATAAAAATAATTCAGGCAACCATTGTCGAGCTGTGTACTTCAACGGCCATAAGAATGCCTAAAAGAAGAAAATCTTCAATATATTATACAAAGTAGTTTTACATGGAAATTACCAGTCGTGTAAAAAGCGTAAAAAGTTTTAAACTTTAATTAAAAAATTAGGTAAACTAACTAATTTCTGCAAAAGATTTTGAACAGCCCCATCGCATATTCACGGACTTCTTATGCCTTAAATATTTATAATTTCTCACCACTTACCATCAGGTGGACTGTGTGCTCGTTTGTCATCCTATCTTATAAAAAAAGGTGTACATATTTACACACAAAAAGAATGCTAGCTGTCTATTATCACTATTTCTACTTAATAATGGTGCTATTGTTTGGTCAAAACGTCGCAAGGCAGATTTTGCATTTTTGAATTTCGTAGTCCTTATTCTTAACCATTTTAGGTTAACTGTGTGCTTTAAGTTGCTCGCGTTACATGTAAATATGATATTAATAATTATTTACAACTGATTGATTATTGCAAGTCAAACATTTTGAGTGGACCATCATTCATCGTGCAAACTTCACCAATCACATTGCTAGTACCTGACACAGTTTTTCAAATTATCCAGGGTTGACTGGTAGAGAATGCCACAAGACATTAAATTCCGCCTATTATAACCCTTATTATATGGTGTATAATAAAGATTGAACAAATCATCAATATTAATGGCATTACCTATTATAATTTATTAATAGTTTTCAAACCGGTTATCACCAACTGCAAGTATAATTAGTTAATTTGGTGGTTTTTCTATTTCACATACTTTGTTAAGTTTTATAGATTACATACCAAAATTTTGGTATATGATTTTTGACTATATGACCTTGGATGGCATAAAAGGAAAACACGCATCATGTAATTTTCTCGATAGAAAAAAATTACAAAGTAGGCTCTAATTAGTTACATTTCTCCATTAAACCACAATATTCTTACGAATAAGGTCATGGAATTATTTTTAAGGCATAGTAAATAATAACATCTAAGTTCTCATAAACCATTTTTTTAATCCATAACAAAGTTTTGTTTAAAAAAATAAATATGTTGTTTCGCGCTTACTTGGTTTTTTCCGAGCGCATTCTCGGTATAGTTATCTCATAATTTCCGTATTATGAGTTCATTGCATCCTTAACACTCCCTCAGTCGTTCGTTAGCTTCACCGACAAAAGAATAAGACACGCCCCCAAAACTACGATTCATTTTCAAGGTATCCCCTTAAACGCGTATTGGCTACTGATGTGCCGGATCGTTAAAAATACGGATATTTAGTTTCAAGATTCGCGAAAACGGATACGGATACGGAATTTAACTTTCTAATCCAATCGGTGTCGGTACGCGTGACCTTGAAACGATAGTAGTAGACTAAAAGGTAGAACATATTTTACGGACCTTCTTTGTATCCCCTTAAACGTAGTGGGGTTCGATATTTGGGGGCGGACCTTCGGTACGGTGACTTGAAACGAAGTAGTAGACTAAAAGGTAGAACATATTTTACGGACCTTCTTTGCAGTGAACTTTACGCTAAAGTGTCGTCAAAAAAACATGTTCCGAGATTTTGAGAAAGTTTTTTTTTCTATTTTTTTTTATAGGATACGGTGACAAACGAGCACACTGTCCTCCTGATGGTAAGTGGTTGCTGCGGCCCATAGACATCTACATCTATTTTCGATTGAAATCAAAATGCAGATGCGTTGTCACCCGTGAGGACTAAGATGGAATGCCTCATTTCCAGTAAACAGGGTCTCCGGTTCTCTACACTCACCATACGAAACACAGCAGCATTAAGCTACTATTTCACGCTGGTATTCTGTGAGAGCGTGGTCTTTCCCCGGTCGAGCCGACCCATTCGTGCTACAACTATACTACTAATATAACTGCAGTATGGCTCTACCACGTATAAAACGTTTCTTCACATCAGATATCTGGTAGTGGTAGACATGGGACGAGTACTCGGTTTGGATTCGGTACTCGACGGATTCGGCCTTTTTTCGAACACCGAGTATTAACGGCCGAGTACTGAGTACTCGGCCTTAATTGTATTCCAAAGAAAAATAAAGACAAAAAATATTAGACACATTAAAACATCAGGAACATGGGAACAGAAATATTGAGAACGCACATAAGTATCTATAACAAAAATTATTATTACTAATATTTAAAATTTAAGAGAGTAAGATTATAACGCAAAAAATGTTTTTCTGACCTATTTGGGTCTAGTTTGCTCCTTTTTGCTTCATATACTAAGCCTGCCTCTGAAAAAAAGCCGTTCACTGTGAACTGAACTGACGAGTGTTGATAAGTATTGAGGCGCAACTTTTCCCAAGATGAGGTGGATTTGGATGAGGCTCTTGCGGTCCTTGGTACGCTTAAGTAATGATCTAACTCTACTGCAGAGGAAGTCTTAGGATCATTACTTATTGGTAACTGATTAATGCGTCAGCAGCTTTTTTCTTCTTCAGAATCATGTTTTAAATGAATTTTTTTATGTGATTCCTAAGATCGTAAATTTTCGAGATATTTCATGATAAATCGATTTCTATAAGCAGTCATTTTCGCACCAGATAACGAAATCAATCTCACGAACATGAGTTATTTGACAAGTAATCAGTAATCACTCATCAACAGTGTCTGTGGGTGTGTGACTGATCTAGTACGGATATCAGTATTTTTCTTTCGATACTACTTGGTACTCAGTTTTAAAGTATCGATACCAAAAGTATTTGGTATCGAAACTAAAGTATCGAGTAAGTACTTGTATTTACTCGCATCGTTTCATCCCTAACTATGTGTAAGGGAAATAACCGCGCGCCGCCCACAACCGCGTTTTTTTTAAAGTCGAGTACTCGGCCAAATCTAGGCCGAGTACTCGTCGAATCACCACTCGTTCCATGTCTAATTTATAGTCGGATTTTCATCAAGTTAATAAAGATAAAGTTTCATTGTTATCTTTAACATGTCATGATATTACCAAAGATTTTCAACGAAAAATATCGTTGAATAAAACTATTATTTACGGATTTTATCGCGTTTAATTACTTTAATTTATTTTTATTATTATCCCGACGTTTCGGGTGCTTTACAGCGCCCATGGTCACGGGGGGACTGAGATGTTTGACGTCCCAATGTCATAGTTAGTCCGGCTACCTTCAGTTTTTTAATATTAATTTTTGGTCCGATTTACGCAAAACGAGCTTATAGTATCATAAAGTCTTGCAGTGGTATGCTTGGGTTTGGGTTTAATTTTGTTGATTATAGGATCCCAAGCAGATGGTAGCACCCAACCATCTTCTCTATTGAAATTTGGATGTTTTTTAATTTCAATAGCCTCGCGTATCATCCTTGGTAGGAATCGGTGTTCTTTTGCGAGAATTTGTGGTTTATCAAATCTAATGTAATGGTGGGGACGATCTTGAACATGTTCGCAGACTGCAGACTTCCCGGAGCGTCGGTGCTTCACATCAGCTATATGTTCCTACACGCGGGTTTTTATAGATCTCTTTGTTTGACCTATGTAAGAGAGACCACATTCACAATCTAGCTTGTACACACCTGCATCTTGTAGAGGAATATTACATTTGATGGATGGTAAAAATTGACTAATCTTCTTCAGCGGCTTGTAGTATGTCTTAATGGACGCTCGCTTCAAGATGTAGCCAATCTTGTCCGTGACTCCTCCAACATATGGTAGTAGAGCAGGTGCGCGCTCGACTGTTGCCGGCTTCACTCGTTCACTGTGACGTAGGCGCGGGACCCGAAGCTTGTTGTCTTGCAATACTTGCTTGACGTGCTGAAGCTCCGCGGCCAGATGTTTTCTGTCACAGATCCCTCGTGCTCTCTGAAACAAAGATTTACCCACGGTAGCTAACTGTGAAGGATGATGGTGAGATTCACCATTTAGATATCGGTTGGTATGGGTCTTTTTCCTATACACAGTGTGACTAATAGTGTTATCAGGATTTCGGATGACTAAAACATCTAGGAAAGCTAAAGAATTATTTGCCTCTAACTCCATTGTGAATTGTATTTTAGAGTTTATGGAGTTAAGGTGGTCTAAAAATGTAGTTACTTTGTCAGATGGTAAAATTGTGAAAGTGTCGTCTACGTACCGCTTGTAGAACCTTGGATTTACAGGAGCAGTAAGAAGGGCTTTCTCCTCAAAGTCCTCCATGAATATGTCGGCGACTATGGGAGACACAGGTGAGCCCATCGCCACACCATCTACTTGCTTGTAGAACTACTTGCTTGTAGAAGAAAAGAAAAATATCGTTTTTAAAGGAGAAGTTCTTAAAAAACGTTACACGGGAGTTTATGTTTCCGAAACATTTTAGAATTCCATGAATAAAACATTTAATAACCTCCAAAAATCAATTTCTTGTTCTTAATAGCAACTTTATATAAAAAAGGCCATTTAAAATAAAGTAGCAATAAAAAGAGTTTTAGTAAAAATTGTTATATAATCTGAGGGATTTAGTGTTCCTTGTCAAATTAAGCACAAGTAAAACCAAATCAAATCAGAACAGCTACAATGGCTACAATTATGGAGTGTAGAAGTAAGGAGTACAAACTGTGTATTAAAAAGTGTCCATAGAAAACTTTAAATAAGGGTGGCGCCACTATAACTACGGGGTAAATTTTAAAGAACGCACCGAAAAATATTAGTGGGATAGACGACTTTTTCGAAGTTATATTTACTAAACAAAATTATTTTAGATTTTAGAGCTACTGAGCACTTTAGCAGCACACTTTAACCGTCGACAACTGCTAAGTCAGTACAGTAGCTACTCCAGCGCTGTTGTGGAGAGTTTTTGAACTGTTATTTACTGCTTACAGATGGCCAC